CGGGCAACAGAGTGAGAATCTTGTCTCGAAAAAAAAAAAAGAAGTCATGATTTTTTTTTTTTTTTTTTGAGACAGAGTCTCCACTCTGATTTCCAGGCAGATGATGCCGTGGTGTCAGCCTCGTCACAGCAACCTCAAAACCCTGGGCTCATGATCTTCTGCCTCAGCCCCGAGTAGGCTGGATACAGGTATGCGACCCACCATCCCCGGCTATTTTTGTATAATAATATTAGTGGTCAATACACATATATAAGAGGGGTCTCATCTTAACACACAAGAAACACAACAACACAACTCTGCACATGAGTCTAGATAGCACTGAGCAACAACCACAACAACAAAACCGAGTATTGATTAATTGTGACAACAAGTTAAAAAGAACCAACTTCTCACTGAGAAGCATTAAAACCCAATATCCTTTGTACACCACAAACAAAACATCATTTACACACAACATATGGGTCCATGAGTAATTTGTTACATGCATAGATATTGTGGCAGCGGGCTTTTAGTTGTGACACACACACACACATATTGTCATAACACAACATTCACAACCAAAGGATGTAGACACAAACACACACATAACACACAAGGATCTCTATTTTAGTTCAAAGTTAAACAAAAATAATGTATTCTCAAGAAGCAAAGCTAGAATCTCAGGTACTTCAATATGAATATTGCTTCAGGGGACCGTCTGAGTCCATGTATTGCCGGCGTTTGAGGTAGCAGGACACTGCCATCTGAATCTGCTCGGTGCGCACTCGTTTCATGACCTTGAGGGGAGGAAACCACGAGATGCCAGTGTCAGGGGCCTGGGAGAGCAACTAATCCAGCCACACCACCAGGGACAGGTAAAACACGCGACAGACAGAGACCAGCGACAAGGCTAAGCGGCCTAGGCAAGGTGTAAGTCCGAGTGCCCTAATACCAGCCTGGTGCTCCCTCTGCTGTTTCGCCTGTCTTTCCAAGCAGTGCAGCCAACTTCGCTTATGGAAAATAGGAACAGCGTGGACAATAAACCCCGCAGATCACTTCCAAACTCTGCCTAATACCACCATTGCAATCAGCCCCATGGAAGTTTTCATTAGATGCTAACGAGGAGCAAACAGGGCCAGTGTAGATTTCAGGGCCTTTTATTTCTCCTGCCCACTTTGTGAGAAAGGTGTTAATTAGCCGTGAACCAGCCGAAAAAGCAGGCAGGAGGCAGTACAAAATCAAAGACCTGAGAAATCCAGAAACTGGATAAATAGATGTTGACAAAGTATGAGGCTAATAATGGGGAAGGGGACTGTAATATTCGTTTCTAAATAGTAAGGAAAGGTTGCCAGCACTAAGTCAAGGATTTGACCAATGTGTTTTCATTTTAATCATATTATTTACCTCTTTTGCTCTTTATGTAAACCACAAGTACACAAAAGCAACAAAACAGTAAGAGGCTATATATACATTATATACACGTTAGAGTACACGTCTCATAAATTCCTATAACAAAGGAGAGTGGTAGGAAGTGAGCTGAATGGGGGTAAATTGTTTTTAAATAATTCAAACTACTTTGAGGGTTCATAGAAATAAAAACAAAAAGAAAAAAGGGACTATTTCCCTTGACTACTGAATTTATTATCAAGAATGCCAGGAACCCCTGTGTTGCCACGGTCTCCAACACTGGTTTGCCAGAAGTAAGGAGCACTGCAGTCCAGACGCCCAGCGACAGCTGGATGCATTTTCTGGGTTCTCTTCTGTCACGTAGAAACACTTTCCCCCTGGGATTAAAACACGGTGTCCATCCTGGGAAGCACACAACATACCCGGACACACGTGATCATTCCCACCAAAGTCACATTCTCAAAATCAAGGGTTCCCAGTTTCTTTTGTGAGGGAGGTCTGTTTTTGATCATTTATTTGGATCTGTTTACGTTTTCAGTTTCAGTTACATGCATTAGTGTTTTCCTTTGAGAGTTCTTACATTCTTTTTTTAAGATTTAAAATCCTACTCTTTCCAGAAATCTGTTGTTTTTTTCCTTAAACACTTAAAAAGTTTATTGGTATCTACTTTTCATCCATCTGCAATTTCTTTTAGTGTGTAATGTGCAGTGAATAACTGAGCTATAGCAACATACTGCCTCCAAATCATTTGTAAATAATTCATTCCTTTCAAACTGATTTTTGGTGGCCCTTTAAAAATGTACTGTGAAGACCTGCTTTTTAAATTTCCTAAAAATCACATAACAGGGCCAACAGTGAAGGCTGGAGACACACATACAAACAAGTATGTATATTATATTAATATATATATGTAAAACTATGTGCATAGAAAGATATTTCCATGCATTTCATTTCTGGATTGCCAAAAAGAATACAAATATTTGTTTAAAAGGACAGGTACCAGGTCTGACATAGTTGCAATTCAGTGATTTAATGAAACACAATTACAAATTTCTTAATACTGAACTATCTTCTCACAATGGAATTTGCCTTACTTGGTTAGGATATGTTGTTCTCTCATTGTATTGATGAGTTACATTACTTTTTTAAATGTAAAAATGTATTCATTATTAGCTTTTGAAATCTTAATATAAAAGTGATTTCTGATAGGCTTTTACAAATACTGAAAATAGCTTCCAGGTCTTCTTTCTTCTTTTAAGGATCTTTGGAGGTACAAAGAACTACTGGATTTGATGATTAAAAGTTATCATGGAGGAAGAAGAAAATTTAGTGACGTCTCAAAAATTATAATTCATATTAAATTATAAGTCTTGATTATTCTTACTTTTTCACAAAATGTTCAATATAATCTTTAAAAGATGTAAAAAGCATTTGTGCATTTAGATAAACATCTTAAAATATAAGGTAAGACTAAAAGCAGTATGACAGGTTTTTCTCTGTCATTTGTAAACTTGATTAGAAGGCTCCTCAGAATTCCAGAACTGTTGTGGAGATGTTATCATTTTCATTTACAATCAGGATAAACTGCCTTCAACAAGGGATCTGGGTTGTAGTTGCCATCTTGCACGGTATGACCTTGAACGAGTCTCTTAACTTATGGATATCAGAAGGCCCATCACAGAATGAAAGATGTTAAATCAAGTCATCTTGAATACCCTTTCCAGCTCTGTTACTGTCTAATACCATGAAATCAGAGTAACATGTTCCAGGCTGTTCGGGGTCAGGGACCTTAGAACCTGTTTAATATTGTACAGTACTTTAAAAGTTTCTACTTTTTGAATCTTATTTAAATATATACATATTTTCCCATGTTCTTCTGTGCATTTAATTATATTTTCCTATTTAACAAACTCTTCAGCATTAGCGATAAAAAAGCTTCCTGATGATGCATTTTTCATTTCTTGTTTTTATTTCTTTTTGGCTTCCTTTTTATAACTCCTCCAAGATCTCTTCTGGAGTTGTGGAGGCCAAAAGTTTCACCACCTTTTCATGAGATTTACCACCCTTCTCCAAAACCATGTCACTCTTCCTGAGTTTTAAGGCCTTGGAAAGATATCAACACAGCTCAGCATTAGCTTTGCCCTCTGACGCAGGTACTGCAGTAGCTACATGTATGGCCTCTGCTTCAAATCTGTTACAGCATTTTGTTTGGAGCCAGGCTTGGCACAGATGGTTATGGTGACATAACCTTTGGGGTCAACTGCCACAGAAGCTAAGGGCATCTCAGAGCCAGAAGGAAGCTGAGCAGAGGCCTGGGTGCCTTGCGTTGCCTGAGTGGCCCCAGCCGGCAGCCAAGCCGCAGCATCCCAGCCTGGGAGGCGCAGGGCCAGATTACTCTTCAATTAAGTTTTTTTTTTTTAAAAAAATCACTGATACAAGGATTGTGATACTTTTGATGGTGAGATCCCTGCTCTCAATATATGTCTGTCCATCAGTGAAGACAGGTAATTGTTTCTTTGTGGCCATTAATCAGCATTACTATATCAGTGATTCTCTATGGTTCTCTAACCTGGCTGTACATAAGCATCCCTTGTGAGTGTACGTATATAAATAATTTCAGCCCAGCGATTCTGATTCAGTGTTATATTTAGAGAAACAAATTCAATGCATACAGAGGCTGTGACGGTACCGTCCTCTCCCAGTGTGGCTCAAAGTCAAGACTACTCAATCCAATCAGTTCCCACCTCCCATCCTCACATGGCTTGCTAAAGCTGCTTTTAATCTGACTCCATGAGCTCCTAGTCTCCAGACTCCCCTAAACCAGCCCAATTCCATACTTTAGCTGAGACTAAAACCTTTCCAGATTTCTTACTGCCCATCTTTTGTTGACATGGGAATGCAGGCATGTACCAATGGGTGTCTAATCAGATGGAACTGGATCTCTTCGATAGCCTGACAGGAAAAAAAAAAAACCCTGCATGTGAAAGACACATGAATGACCGAAGGGAGAACAGACCCTGTGATGGATGACACAGTGTCCTCAAGGTGAGACAGCTTATATGAATGTCTGAGAAGGAAGAAAAAAGATGTGAAAGTTAGGAAAGAGTAAAGACAAGGGAGTAGAAACAAACAATAGTAAAAACTGGCCATATTTGGGATTGCTAGAAGTTAGTTTGTCAATACTGATTCTAGCAAATGTGTCCAAATTAGCTACCTCAAATGGCAGTTTCACAGAATCCAAACCACCATTTATGACAAGGGACCTTCCCTGAGTGGTTAGCCAACTGTAAGGCCATGGATCTTAAGGATAGGAATTCGGGCAGTAACTCTCTTTTATAACTATGTTGAACTCAAATACCAGAGACATGATCCAATCAACTTAGCTGGACTTTATTCCAATATACACATATTTCAAGTGAAATAAATAATTAACGAAAAGAGTTCCTCAAAAAAATCAGTCCCCCCTAACCTCAACGAATTTCCATAGTACTAATATCCATAAGTGGATACACACACGCACACATATCCTTAAAATAGACCTAAGTCTCTTGAGAGACTCAGACACGAGACTACCAGTGGAATTTCAGGTTACTTGCCTAGCTTTTCCCATAATTATAAAATCTTTTCAATTTAAGTTGGGTTTGAATATAATTATATACTCTTTAACATTTCAGAATTTCCCATAATTTCCAACTTACATAAATACCTAACTTTAGATATCAAATACCCTTCTTTTCATTATCACAGTATCTCTGGAAATTAAAATGAGACTCTGACACAACATGTATCTATTTCCCACATACAGTAGTCGACTATGGTTCCACTAATACCTCAACAAAGTTGCCATGTAAAATCCCAGCACGATCATTTCAATGTATCAACTACGCAGGAAACACCACAGCCACATTTTTAAACATTTTAACTATACAAATGTGGGGTAGCAGAGATACATGGCAGCCAGGTACACACTTCAGATGATGACAGTGTGAGTCTCCAGTATGGTTAACCTCTTCAGAGGTTACACTGCGTTCTAACCCCACCCGCTTATGTTGGCACGGGAGTGCTGGGGAGGCCCGTCACAGGCCAAGCGCCATGTAGTTCTGCAAAACGCCATGAGAGTGCTATACTCTTCTCCACTAAAACTCCCTCTGCGTTCCCGTTCCCGTAAGGTGGCAGCTCTGAGGATGGGTGAGTTCAAGATGAATCCAGGCAAACTCAGCACATACTCCTCCAATCAGCTCCCCTACTGAGTCTTCTGACGGTCAGTTTTGTTTTTTTGAATACATTTTTTCCAATTACTAATTTACGCTTATAGATGAAAGTTATTTTTGTAAAGCATCTACTAGATCCTCGAATATTAGTTCTCTTTATTTGCAGTAATCTAAATGGT